ATTTATTAGAATATTAATTCAATTAAATAATAAATATTGTCATACATATGCATTGATTATATATATATTCAAAGTGTTTATGTCCAAAGTTGATTGGACCTAGGGCATAACACTTACATTCTTTTCCATCAATTCTTGACATTATTTCCAAAACTTGTTTAATTATCCCTTTTTTTTCTTTTTTTTGGTTATCGTGAGAAAATTGTCCCGACTCCGGGCAAATTCAAGATTGCTATCATGGGTCGATTTTTAGCCAAAGTATCGCTACTCTATCTTTACGTTTAAGAAGTAATTTGCAAATTAAAATCCATTTTACATTATTATCTCGAGTTTTAATAAGTTCTAGCTATCTAAACATATATAGATATTGTAATTTTTCTTGATTATTTCCATAATTGCGTTTTAAGCCATTTTCTTTAACACAGTAAAAAAAATAAAATATAAATTCTCCTTTTATCCTCAGACAAAAATGCTATGAACTTATACCTCACAAGTCTTAAGAGAAGGTCGAAAATTAGCCCGAGAAAACTATGTAGATCATTAGACTTGCCTCCATTCAATCGAAAGTGGAGAGAAATTTGACGTTTGGACGTAAGCGTATATAGCAGCAGTGATTTAGCCAATTCAACCAGCGATAATAGTTGCAATCAGGAGATAAGTCATTTCTGATATCCGCATTTGCAAGGAATGACATCTATTGTTTGTTCGAGCTTATTGGTCATTGAGTTAGTTCCTTCAACATACGAAGTGAAAGGTTTTGACAAGACATGTTTGTTATTCTTCAATCCTCCTATCACTTTCTATATATTGATTGGTGCGTGATTACTACGTTTTTAAGCAGCTTAGGTGTGAGTTTTCAAGCTCGATGCATATAGAGTTGGTTGAATGATTGGATCCCGAAAAAGATGGTAATGGGATGTGGGGATCATACTGTTGGGTTTGTGACTCAAATTAAGGTTAGGATTTGTGTTTGGAAAGAGTTGGAATTGAAAATGAATTAGAATCCAATTCAAAGAAGGAAACCCAGCTCATTGGCGGTGCAAGACATGGAGCAAATCTGGGCTGCCGAACGGGTTTTTGTTTCCTACACATTTTTTTATTTCTTTCCATAACTTGACATATTTCCTAGGGTTTTAGGGGTCGTGGATGTACCCTATATATATAGGGTCTCTTCTATTCAATTTTGCAGGAAGCATATTGCTAAGTGCTTGTAATTCTCTCCATTATTGTCA